GAGAACGAAAAGATATAAAATGGTAATCCTGCTTTCAAAAATTTGGTAATATAAAAAAAAAAGTGACACCCCAAAGTTACCTTGTTCCACCAACAGAAATGTCGAACTAAATTATGAGGACAGTGAGGGCAGCTTTGATGCGCACTGAAAGCATCGCCAAAGAAAAGAGAACCGCAGAAATTGTTATGAACTATTAAACAGAACTATGAGAAATGAGAGGAATGACTGGAAGATTAAGTGTGATAAAAATTTACGCGTAATCAAGAATTCTACAGTCACAACCCTTGCAAAAGTAATATGAGTATGGGCGAATTTGCAAGAAGCGGATCTGGGGCAAACAAAATATGAACATCAGCCATGTCGATAATAATGTTCAAGTGCTATATACAAAATTCAGAAAATATTAACAAACCAGGGAGTAAAGCTCTCCAACACGATTTTGGAGAGGAGTGCCACTCAGAGCCCATCTATAAGTAGCCTCCAAAGCAAAAACAGCTCTTGCCGTGTTGCTACGTCTTTCTTTGATGTAATGAGCCTGGTATGAAGAAATGTAAATTGAATTTTAGTAATCAATGTCAGATCCATAAATCTAGCCTCCCAAAACAATATGAAAGAAAAGACGCCCTTAAAATAATTCTTGGCAAACTATGATTTGTGAGGATAAGTTTACTATGGTTTCCTTTGTGTATCTCACATGCTTGTTCAACGAAAATTGTGGAAAAAAGGGTTAACACCAACAAACAGTGAGTTTTGGTACTGACCTCATCCAAAATTATCCGATTCCACTTAACAGAGTGCAAAAGAGACTTCTCTCTGTCATCTGAACCTAACTGATCTTCTTCTACTGTTTGTTTGGTCTTCTTCTTAGTATTCTTCATTTTGTTATCCTCTCCTGCATCAGCCTCCTTGCCTTGCTGTGAGGATGAAGCTGTAGACTTTTTCCTTTTCTGCTTAGATTGTTTTGCTGTTTTGACAGCCGAAGGTCCACAAAAATATCGCAGGTGGACCAAAAGTTTCTTCGGGTAAAATGACTTGCTGCAATATGCACATTGCACCCTGGGCGGCATAATGTGTCTCCTATATTCACTCTCAACTGTGGAATATGTTGTCAAAACAAAGTCGTAGTTCATAAACTCTTTAATATTCTTCTCTCTCTTCACCCCATGGTATACAAGGACCTTAGTGCTTCCCGGGGATGTAAACCGAGCAATCTCATTTAACCACTGAGAAACAGCAACAAGAGGACAAAGAACCAGGGTGCACCCCACTGCTTCCCCAAACTGTGCCCTGTCAACTTCTCGTCTGGCAAGAACAAGAGAGATGGCTTGTATTGTTTTTCCCATTCCCATCTCATCTGCGAGAATCCCTCCTGCAACTGACTGTTCCTGTTTTGATGCCCAAGCCAAAAATTCCTTTTGGTACCTTAATAGCGGCATAATCAAATCTGGAGGCGGCTCAGCAGTTTCGGTAATCACAGCATTCTGCTGATCCAAATCAACATCCTCTGCCATATGTTCATCAATCCATCTATTCTGCTCTTTTTCCCAAATCTCCCACATTAGCACTTCTTTCTCTTTCTCTTTGCTTGCACAAGCTTTTTTTCTTTTCTTGCTTGCTCTTGGTAAGTTTACAATTGCCAAAGGCGCAGGGGCAAGAACAGGTACAGGATTTGGTATATCATCATTAGCATCGACCTCCTCGACCTCCACCTCCTCCTCCTCCTCGTCACCTATGTTCAAATATGAATCATGACAAAGTAAACCCACAAAGTCATCAATGAAAGAAACTCAACTTTAAAACAGACACCTTTAGAAACGAATCATACCTTGAAAATCAGAGCCGATTGAATCGTCATCATCTGAAGATATAGCATAAGGTTCGTCATTAGAGTTGGTACCAGTTTCTTCCTCGATATCCACAACTACTTGAGAAGAAGAAGAAAAGATTAAAAATTTATCTCCCGACAGTATCTAGGCCCTAAAGTTTCAATTTTTACTATCAGAAGACCCTCACAAAAACATCAGAGCACAATATCATCCAATTCACAGAGATCATCGAGCACAATACCAAAAAGATCAATTAATTGAGTTCAGATCGCACTGAAAGAGAGACAGTAGTTCACTATATTCCGCAATTTCTCAGGTACAATGGGGAGATTAAGGATCAAACCCAACATCAATAGAGAGAAATCACAAAAGGATCGTGTGAAGATTACCTTCAATCGATGGAGGAATCGCCTTATTGCGGGACCGAAGCTCCATCTCTGTCCGAATTCGCAAAATTGAGGATAATAGGAAAAGATGAGTTTAGGGTTATGTTTTATAAAGTAGTGGTCGGTTCTGTTTTTCCACTCTTTGTTAATTGTCGATAACGGCGGGAAACACGACATTATACAGACGTGTCAACTTCCTATCGGTTCGATCAGCAAATTATGACTGCAGCAATTTTCTTTTATTTTGGAATTATTAAAATCTAACCAAAGATCTTATTTCACTTTTTTTTTTCTTTTTCCTTTTTTTTTATTAGAGATTTTGTATCGAATTAAGGCTGCGAAATTGTAGAAGCAATGCTAAATGGAGAATTAACTTAGGTTGCATAATGCATTATTATAGACATTATGTGAAACCTATACATGTGTAATATGCACCAAAGGTGTGAATTAGGAAGGATTGGTCACAATCTCTACTTACCGACCAAAATTTTTAGTAGATATTATTACGAAAAACAATATGGAAAAAAGAAATAACGAAATAAACATTGGTAACGTAGATAGAAAGCACTATATAGGCATGGCCGGCTCAATTAATTTAGAGTCTATGTACAAATCTTAAAATTAGCCATTTTTCATATAAATTTTTTTTTTGGGCCTTTTTTATGTTAAAAAAATCTTTAAAATTGGTTTTTTTCATACTAAAATTATATATTTGGGTCTTTTACATACTAAAATTACTTTAAAATCTTAAAAATTATCATTTTTTTTTTTTTTTAAAAAAAATTAGACCCTTAAATTTACCCAAAAAAAATTTGGCCCGTACATTTGCTCCTCTTGCACCCTCTCAACGCCGGCCCTGTATATAGGTGTCAGAATAATGGACATGACCGATTAGCATGGTGAGTTTTATATACCACATGTTTTGACATTTGTTTAGAAATTTAGATGAATGGCTTGACGTCAATCTCTTTCATCATTAGGAATTTTTTTTTTTTTTGGTAAAAGTCATCATTGGAAATTTGGAATGTCCATGACGAGAAAGATGCTCCAAGTTTATCATTACGCATAAAAAGATTTGGTTGATGTTCTAAACCGTTGGAAGTGACCATGACCTTGCATGAGGTGTTATTTCATGTATGTTGTTAAGGTTCTTAATGATTAGGCAAGTTTCAAGAGTCAATATTGAAAGTAGACACAAGCGGTTGAAGCAAAATGACGATAACTATAACAAAAACATTGTAGAAAGTAATTGTCTTGACGTTACCATGCACATCGTGGATTATCTTGGTTTCTATATTATATCACTGAGATTGGAAATAGACGACAATGGTGCGAGAGATTTCATCTATGAACCAAAAAAAGTTACAGCAACGATAGGACCTCAAAACGCTAAAACTCCTATTATGTTGCTTTGGTAAAGAAATATCTGACGATAGGACCTCAAAACTGAAAAAGATGGGCCATTGCACATATGTAACACAAGTTAATTCAACTGAAATTTCTATTTTTACAAAAAGAAATATATATTGTAGAAACAATTTCGGTTATATGTTCCTCTTAGAAAACTGATTATAAGTCTTCGAAAGAAAATTGATTAAGTCAAAATATTAAGATCAATCCGTATTCAATATTTTTCTTATTGGATTTTTTGAAAACATTCTTACACAATTATAGAAGAAATCACATCTTGAAATGAAAATTAATGTATCACATACATTTTTTTTTCTTTTTGGTTTCAAAACA